TTGAGCATACCAAGACATTTTGGACAATTTTATGCTTCCAACTTTGTGGGAACTGTGGCTGTGCCCCAGTGCACAAAGCAAGGATCATAAGGAAATTATTAGGTGAGTTTGGTGTGGGAGAACTTGACTGGGCCACACAGAGTCCTAACTTCAACCCCATCAAACACCTTTGGAATGAATTAGGATGGAGATTGCCAGACCGCCTCATCCAGTATCAGTGTCTGACCTCAAAATGTTCTTCTGGATGAATGGGCAAAAATTCCCACAGACACACCAAAATCTTGTGGAAAGCCTTCCCAGAAGAGTGGAAGCTGTTATAGCTGTCCATGGTGTCCATATTGTGTATGCAATGGACTGCATCAGACATACTTGGCATAAAATTATTCGATTGAGTCCAGAGGATTTTTCTTAATTCTTACCACACTTCGGAGACTATGGACAATTTAAAAATATCGAGATGAGTCAAAATACAACCAGAACCTAATCAACAGCAATGAATTTTATAGTTCAACAAAAATAAAACATGGAATAGCAAATTGTCCACAGGAACCAGAAATGATATCTTCTACTTTTCATGGTTTATTTGAGAAAGTACTACAATAAGAAAATCAATCCTTGTTGCAAAATTTCCCTTTCAACTATCTACATCTGACACCCGCTTTATTGCCGCTAACACACTTTTTGTTACTTGAACCAATAAAAGTGGAATATGGCAACTCAGACTTCATACTATAAGTATTAATGCAATTTAGCTGCCAGTTACAGTCTGCATCTTGTTTTTGGTGTTTTTTTTTTTTTTGGTGTATTCTTTATTGTAGCTGGTTTTACAATGCATTGTTATTGTTTCTGACAGCAAGTTCAAAAGAAACACAAGCTGTAGCTGAAATTTTTTTAATTCCCATCAATTACGTTTAGCAGCTAAGACACATTTCATATCTGAAACAATACAATGGCAAATCGGATGCTTTTTAAGTAGGCCTGTGTGGAACAATGAACATGACTTATTTTATTGTAACGACTAATCCTGATCAGGGTTACAGGTGAGGCTATCGCACACAGTACAAGCAATTTAGAGACTGAGCCATGTAATGGCAGCTCCATCTTAAACATTAATTTGCATTCCTCTATTATGTTGATTATATGCCCAGACAAAAAATATATATATATATATCAAATTGAAGTATAAAGTCTTACGCTGATTTTTTTTCTTCGCTTTTGAATTTAATAAAATTTGTTGTTTTAGGAAATTGTTTTGTATTTTTTTGGTAAAATATGCTTTGTAACTGTTATACAGAAACATACTGGATGCAGAGGTTGGCATGGTAACTGTATTCCACTCAATGTGTAATCAAGTAACAGAAGTGCTCAGTACCTCTAGGATTTTAATGGTAATCACAAATATTAAATGATTATTTATATATTAAAAAAGAAACTCATATTGTGCTGTGCTAACGTTTGCCTCTGTTTCTTTGTTGTAGAGATCAAAGGGTCTAATGTTGTTGGATTACTCATTTTTGTACTGAAAATTGAAAACTATTAAACTGAATGGCAATATTTCTCTTGCTTTGTGCTACCTAGCTACACCACAATATGACAAGGCACGTAAGATTTGTTTTTATATCGTGTTGAAATATGTTTAGACGTTTTTCCCATCCTTATGCACCTACATTTTGATGTTTTTACATATGTTAAGTTTTAGCGTGAGCTCCTTTTAGCTGTATGCAGGTATGGTCATGTGCGTTGTGCTTCTTGGTAGTTGTGAAGTTGACAGTTATACTTACACTACTTCAGATTAGGTGAGCGTTGTGTTTTTCTTTTTCCCCCAGAGTACCTTTCACAGTGTTCATCTTTGCAGTTTTGGGCCATAGACTGAAAGCAGAAGGTGTTGTATTTTTTACCCCTGCCTACACATGGCAACTGGAATCAAACAAAAATTCAGTGAACTATCAGAGAAGTATATGTGGACAGGATGATGATGGACTGTATATGCAGCAGACATCAATACAGGCATCTCCTCACTAGACAGAAGGGCCTGGAGTCAGATATGAATTCAGACAGCTATATATTCAGCCTGCTGTTTTCGACACAAGCAACGACTTACTGGGGTAATTCAGAAAGAAGAGGTGATTATTGTTACTAAGGCTACAGCATGCCAAACTTTCAGTGTTTTTGAAGGATGGGGCAGGAATTACCGTGACAACAACACAGATTCTGAAGCAGATGTGACATGTGGCCCAAAAAAAGTCTGGAAAATAATTACCTATATGTTGATCTGTCCTAAACAACACTTCTAGCATTTTTTGTAGTACCCATAGTGCCAATTACAATTCAGTGTGCTCTTGAATTTACATTTTTACGTTTTTTTATTTCTGTAATTTAAAGATAACTTGTGATGTGAATACATGGTGAAAAATATGAATAATTGTGTTTTTTTAATATACAGTTTCCCATATTTATTACATAGTATTTAGGAAAGGAACAACAAAAAATATGGAATTTGGTCAGTGTCCTTAATATAACATAATCAGTTAATCACTTTTACAAAAACTGTGGCATTACAGTTTTTGTAAAATTGCCAATAATTATTAATTGGACAGTACGATGGTTACTGTAAATTTGGAGTTTTTGTAGGTTGAAGAATCTTTTCATTCTTCTGGCATTGTAGAAATTTAAAACAAATCAGGAAAAATCACTTTCAGCTAAGACTTAAAGCTTTGCAAAATGATGGTGACATCACTTCTGTGGAAAAAAAAGTTTTCCAAAAAACAAGGCATGATTCCAAGTGCCTTCGAAAAGCGAGGAGTTCATTAAGATACAATAGTGGCTGACAGGGGCGTTGCTAGAGATTTTGGGCCCCATGAAAGTATATCATATTAGGCCCCCCAGTCCAAACCAATCCAGTTATTTTCCTAATTTTTTAGGGCCCCTGTCACTCAGGGGCCCTTGGAATCGTCCTAGCTTTCCTCCCCCTTACGGCGCCCCTGGTGGCTGACATGGAAAATGCAGAATACAATACCATTGTGCTGTATGCATGTTAAGAAAAGCATGCAAAGTGCATCTGAGAAATATACGAAAATTCGAGTGTATAACAAACTTTTCTGAAATTAGAAGAACATCCATCCATCCGAATTCCAATTCACCTTAGCGTTGGACAAAACGGGACAAAGGTACTCAAACCCCTGGCGTGAGGCTACAGTGCTAACCACTGCTCCACTGCGCCCCCCTCCATGCGCACAATTTATTTTACTATATTCTTTATGTATTTAACATAACGACATTATAATTATTTGAGCAATTTAAGTATATCGGGTGTTTCTTATATTAGTACGAGGAAGTCAGTGAAAGTCTTCATTTTTCCTTTTTGAAGTGCCCTTTGAATCCTCTTCCCATTTTGGCTCTGATATTGTGCTGTCACGAAAGCCAAGAGCGTCCAGTTTAATTCTCAAAGCAGAAATGTGCTATAAAGATTTTGGTACTTAGCTGTGAAAAAGAACAATGCACGTGAAAGACAGATGCTGGTAGAATTACTTCCCATTGTCACTGTGAATGATGGTTCACTCCATGGTAGTTAGCTCAAAGTTTCTCCAACAAGTTACTTGAGTTCAAGACAACAAGTGTGTTGCCTAATGAATATTTTAAGGACATTAACAAAGAAAAAAGTATGAGTATTTAATCCACAGTATAAAACCCCTTTCGGGTAGTCTCTTTAATGACATATGATCCAATTGCTTTAAATTAGTATCTGAAACGTCGTCAAGTTTATAGTTTTTAATCTCGTTTAGCAAGAAATGTATACAATTCTTCTGTGGAAAATATGCATGAAAGGGCCTTTGGTAGACTATCTCCAGGGTGTAAAAGCATACTATAACTGGTTTATCCATCTTATTCAAGTCTGTCATAATCCCACACAGAAGGCGTATTTTGCTGCTCCTTTAAACATGACGTGCATGAACTATATAGTGTACAAATAGGCTACTACATGTAAACCAGCTAACTTCCTCCACCATAAGACGTTGTTAAACAACTAATATATTAAGAGTTACAAAGCTTAACATATCCTGCGGCTTTAAAAGGCTGAATTACGACATAGGCGTGTGTATCAATAAAATATAGTTGATGTTGTAAGCCGAATATAAAAGCATATTGTATAATGCATGACTCTGATTTTCTGTAACTGGTGTTATGAAAGTAATATGGATCAGCAAACTTACGGTGGTTCTTTTTAGATATAACTTTTTGATCTTAATTGAATTTAGTCAAGGGCGTAGATGTGCATATGGACGGTAGGGACACGTCCGCACCAATATTGTGGGAGCATCGTGTGTTTCGGGGGGGGCGGGGAGTTTGGGGCTGATTTTCTCCCGACCAATGTTGAAACCAAACCTTCACCGATAAATTTAGTACATTACAGCATAGCATTGTGTACATGCATGTTACCGATGACATTACAAAACGCGACACAATTTAGCAGTTATTAAATCAATATAGCCTAATATTTCATATTCCAGTAAAATGCTTCCTGTGTTTAACCTGCCTTTAAAATGATCAGACAGACTTTGGGTTCTTTCTTAATAACTTACATAATTTAATCGTATTACTGATTTTATTTCTTTTGTAGTTCTGATGGTTTATTTGGAAATGCTTTTTTTTTCCTGGGTGGCTTTGTGGGATATGTCGGTAATGCGCGGTGGTTTATTGCGCTATACAGAAGCATAGGAGCTGGTAGGTTGTCTCTTTAAATCACCGCTGCAGTGCTGATGTGCCTTCGAGCAGAAATGGTAAGAACCATTTCAACCTCTGCAGCAGGGAGCCTGACCGAATACACCGGGGAGCGTCTCACAGAGCCGAATTAAACACCTTTCCATTGCTACTCATATACTGTTTCGGTAGCTTCTAGCGCGTGGAGAGTGAGTTAACTTTTAAATCCTTATTTTGTGTGAGTTAGCAGTTTGTACACAGTTTCTTAATCCCTCTTTCCCCCTTTTTCATTCTGTCCACAGAACACAGTGGCAGTCGTCTCTATCCAATTACCCCTGGCTGGTACTCCTAGATCCCCTGCGTTGCAATCTGTTGATAACTCGACTTGCAAGCTGCACTTTATTGTCTTTCGAAATGGGAAACTCTTTCCTTGCACAGGGAATTCATCAAATCTTGCAGATGATGGAAAACGCAGGAGTGTTTCAACACCAGTTGCTTTCACAAAATTAGGTAAGAGAAGGACCCTTTTTCCAGACTGGATAACGAGTTGCATTTAACTTGGTGAACAACATGATCTAAACATATGCCTGTAAAATGTAATAATTCTGAATGTTTTTTTTTCTTTTAGTAAAGTACTTGGAGCCACCGTTTTTGTAGGAAATGTTCTATTTTAATGTTAGTACATGTAATTTTAAACAGGAATATTGCAATTATAGTAAGGTCATGGAAATGGAATTTTATACAAGGAATTTCTACGGATCATTCTAAACGTCTAACGCATTTAAATCTATTTTTTGCCGCTGACGTGACTGTGCTTTTCTATCTTTTCGGTGTTGCTTGTTCAGTCGGGTTTTAGCGTTTACAAAGGACGTCATTGTGCTGTTAGTCGGATAAATGTGGTAGTCAAGGTTACTGTGCGTATAATATTTAGCGTTGTATACCGGTAGGTGCTAAGGTTGTATTGGAACCGTATCCCACCAAGAAAAAAACAAGGAATCACATGCCATTTGTATGACACAACTGAATGAAGTATATGGTTTAAGCCTATGCACTTACCAGCACTCTATCAATTATCATTACTTGCTATTTAACTGTAATGCCATACACAAGGATATGTGTAAACAGACAACAAACGTGTGTGATCATAGACTGCGCACAAAGGTATGTGTGTGTGTGTGTGTGTGTGTGTGTGTGTGTGTGTGTGTGTGTGTACACACTGATATACATACACACATATATACATGTATACATACATGCATACTGTACATACACGATACAGTTTAACATTGAGTATTTCGCAGGCAGGGATTTTCCACTTGGTCTCCCTGATTCCGTTTGTTCCTCCTGCAGATGGGTGCCGCCTCGGGAGCCTCTCCCAGTCCATCACCATCGCTCTGAGGCACTTCGCGCTGGGTGTAGACCCAACTGCAGCCTACTGGGATTTTGACCTTCTAGATGGACACGGGGGCTGGAGGGCAGAGGGCTGCCACATAACGGGCTCTGCTGGAAACACCACCGTCATTCATTGTACACGCAACGATAACTTCGCAGTGCTGATGGTGAGTACCTGGAGAGTCATGCCTCTGAAAGTATAGCACTTCTCTCCCTTCCTTCACGGCTGTTCTTTTTTTCATGTGGCTTATAGCCCTGGACTACACAAAGAACCCCCAGTTCCATTTGGATTTTCTTAAATGCTAATTAATTGTACATAAAGTTTACGAAAATCAGATTTTTTTTTGTAACTGAAAAACATGTGAAGGACTGCTGATCACTTGTGTCGCCTGTTGTTTTGGCTGTATGCGCTGTATCGGTGGTCTCTTAATCGGCTTCTTGCTCGTTTATTACAACGATGCTGTTTAAGCTATTGAAGTACAAGCAGTGATCGCCCATTCAGCGTCTACTTTCGAGTGCAACGTCCGTGGTATACTAATTTGCCATTATACCGCAATATGCTCAACAAGAGCGATGCCCTGTTTATTGCTTAAAGCAAGATGTGTATTTATATTGCATAGCATGGGACTGTTGTTTGCATGTTTGCTGCCGACGTGCCTTATCAAAACTGTAAGGATGAAACTAATCGAAGAAGAGCATCATTCCCTATGTTTCCATAGCAGGACTAAGCGACCAGAAATGCGCTGCATGTTATGCCAAACTGGGGGGCGTGTTCGGATTGCAAATTATTTGGCGTCGTAGTCGCATTGGTTGATTTCTTCTGTTGCACTTTTGTGGTTCTTTGAAACATTTCAGTGTTTCATTGTCAAAGTACAGTGCAATTTTAACTATCAGGATAAGGGATGTGCGAGGGAAGGACACTGATACAGGCAGCTGTTGAAGTGAGAGCAAGGCGTGCACGGAATACCGATCAGGTGCTGTCCGATGGGGCGCAGATGTCGGACAATCATAGCGTGAGACTGTAGTAATATGCATATTAAATACACAACAAAACAGCAAGTGTGGGACAGGAGGCTGATTGTCCGAAAATGAGAAAAAGTGAGGTTGCCGGATGGTGTTAGTGAATGGAAGTGACTATAGATCAGCTTAGAAGCCATACCTTTCGGGTCTTTAGTAGAGTATAGCGAATAAAATCGAGATTAATTTACGTTTATTTATGCAGTCACCACACACCCGCAGTTTCCTCTGCAGCGCCCGATACGAAGAGTCGTCATTTACTGATTTGTGACATCATATTTCCCTGGACAGTGTCTAGGAGGCCTGTGTTATTAACTCGCCATGTGTCTTCTGTACCTGTTGCGTGATGTTCTGACTGAGTTTAATCAGTTTAATTGATGTACTTCGTTGGTCATATTGTTATAATACTTTATACAATGTGATGGAAAGGTATAACTTCTTCTTCTTCTTCTTCTTCTTCTTATTATTATTATTATTATTATTATTATTATTATTATTATTAGTAGTAGTAGTAGTAGTATTACATTGTTGTAATTCACTGTAATAATTCATTTTAGGTATTACTCAAAATTTGTCTAAGAAGATACAGTTTAGATACAGAGTATTTTAAAAGTGTATGAATGAATTATAGCTCCCTTAATCTACTACTGATGTATTTTTAATTCCAGTAAGTATTAACTTTTAAACAGTACATTGGGTTATTTATTTTTTTTCTTCAGTGAACAAGATTAGGTTGTGCCTGCCTTTAGAAGGCATCATTCTGTTGTAGCATTGAGCAATTGCAGTTATATTAAATATATGGTAACAAGGAACTTTAATTCTAGCATACAGTATAGCATTGTAATATGCCTTTACTGACGGTTTCTGAAACCGAGCAATGATCCTCTCTGGATGAGAAATGTGCAGAGTATCATTTAATAATGTTACAGCTTTGAATTGAGCTAACTACAGAGCTTTGATTTGTAAGATACGGTAACATGAATGAAAAGTCTTCAAGGCATGTTGCAGCCATCCCTTGTAGTGATTAAGCCCTTGTAATGATTAAGGTTTGGTCTGCATGTGCCTTACCATGAGATGGCATCCAGCTCAGTTCAGGGATTGGGAATGCCCATGCCATGAGCCTTGTGCTGGAGAAGCGACTGCATGCGCAGGTGGTTCTGGGGGCAGAGGATCTCCAGGGCTTAGTCTGTGTATCGGAACACGATGATACTGATTTAAAAGTGATTGTAAAAAGAACAAGAACTGGCACTTTGTTAAGAACATTTGGGGCTAAAGCCCTCTAAACCTAGCCCTGGCTGGATGGATGGATGGATAATTGGTCTGCAAATAGAACTACAGACCAGTAGGCTTGTGCCGAGAGATTTGTGTGGAGTCGTTTATGGAGTATGTACATGTGGCAAGGTTTTTGAGACTGTAGCTGAGATCTGGATGAATTTCAGTGTAAGAGATGGGATTGGTAATATTTGTTGTTTCATGACGACACTGCTAAAGAGCTAGCTTTAGCTCAGAGTTAACGTAATTTCTTCTCAAACATCTCTTCATCACATTCATTTGTTTACCATGTCACTTTACTGAGCAGTGGTGAAATAACTCATATAATGAACATGTTTGCATATTGTATTTAAAAATACAATTACAGATTAAAGTACAGCTTCATATTGCCTGACATCCTAAAGGATTAATAATGGTCTTTACTTTGCGTGGCTGAACAGGTAGCTGTCTGTCTCTAGTTGGGCATCTAGTTTGGTTGACTTTTGTTGTGCCTCATAGAAACTGAGTGGGGATAATTACATTCTGTAGTTTCAGTGATTGGTTGTTCCAAATCTTTAAAAACGAATAACATGGACAAAGGTTCCCACACTTTGCATCAGGGATATGAATGTCACCCACTTTGCTAATATAAGACCTTTGCATTTCATTAAAAGTAATTGTATGAAACTCCATCCATTAGAGTTACATTGTGCTTGTCACTGTATAATTAAGGTCAATCAGACCTGAACCATCCATGAAATTATAGTCTATGTTCATCATTTTTTAAGTGTCTCACAAGTTCATATTGCTAAACTCATTAAGATAGGGTAAACTGTTTTTCTTTCATGCATCAGTGTTTTTTTATTCTCTGTGGTCATTTCTAAAGTCAAATTCTAGTGCTAGCACTTTCCTTTGGGGGAAATTTACATTTAAGCTTAAACGTCGTTTTAAATTAGCTGTGTCATATATGTAAAGGTCTGTAGTATGGCTTTGTTACTGCAGATTAAGATTTGCATGCATTTCCCTTGCAAACAGCATCATGTTAGGCATGAATACTAAATAGATTTTGTCTCAGTTCATTTTTATATCGTACATTTGAAAGCATTGATGTTATCGCTAATTATTAGTTATATATCAGTGTACAGTCGCCCCTCCGGATTCACAAATTTGAATTCACGGTTTTGGCTACGTGCAAGTTGCCCGTGGACGATTAAATGGAGCTGTGGGATGTATGCATCTCGCCTTGAGTATGTCATGCGCCTTTGTCTCCATAACCAGCCTGACGTGTCAGCTGTCTCTGTGACTGTGGAATCTTGCATTTCTCGCAGCAACTTTTCATTGCCATTAATTTGACATTTTTATTAATGGACCCAAGTATTATTCGCCAATTTTCACATTTGCGGGGATCTTCTGCCCCCTAACCCTTGCGAATGCAAAAGGGTGAATATAATGTGTCATTTTGCTACCTAGCATAACATCAGTGTTAGATTTAAACAAGTTTTTTGGTTTAATAAATTTGATTAAAAAAAGACACTGAGAACCTGCCTTATCATTGTCAGAAGGATGCATGTTGTTGTATCAGCACCATGGACAGATCCAGTAGGAAGACTCACCCATCATCATGGACCTTTCAAAATGTAGATCTCACAAAAAAAAACCCCAAAAAACATGGTGGTGGCCTTGGAGACGTCTGCTGAGCCAAATATACAGTGATTGAGTTCTCCAGCTTCCCCAGAAAAAAAAACAATTCCTGATGACAAATGCACCCATTTTTGTTACAGTGAATGAAGTCAGATCCCATCCAGTTTGTGGTAAAACCAATAAAGGATCCCAAACCTGTGAATTGGCTGCATGTTTGCTTAGATCTACATAGGAGTGAGAAGATTATATAGAACGATTTGTGTGAGGATTTTCATTTGCTGGAGAAAATTAAGCAGATTACACTTTATTATTATTATTATTATTATTATTAATAATAATAATAATAATAATAATTAGCAGGAACCTTTGTTCAAGTGAGGAATAGAGAGAAGGGTCAGATCCTTAGAGCATTTGGGTTTAAAGGCCTTCTTCAGGGGGCCAATGGTGACATCACTCTTCTAGCCACAGGATTTGAACCTTCCAGTAATGATCACAGAGTCCAAACCAAAAAAGCCGAACAACGCACCTATCATTACTGCTAAACCTAATCCTTAAGAGCTTGATTCCTCTTATTTGAATAGATTTAAAAGTGTGCTTGCATGAACAGTACTACAGCAAGAACTTTGCAAACCCTGTAACACTAAAGGACCAGAATTTTCATCAGTGTGTTTTTTTTTGTTTCACAGAGTGTGTCTACTGTTTAAGTATTTCGTCCTGTTATAAATTTTAATTTAACTGTTCCATTTGAACTATATTGAGCAAAGGACACTGTAATGAGCACTACAATACGATTGAAACTTTTCATAATGAAATTTTATGTGATTGATGTGTTCTGCCCATAAAGACTAAATAATCATATACTAGGTTGTGTTGCTCACCCCCTGACCCTGTCTAGGATAAGGAGATCATGGATGGATGGATGGATGGCTGTGTTGTTTGTGTAATTTAACTATGTTATTTTTATGATGTAATACTGATAGCATGAGTCATAATAATGATTTATTGGCTGTGCTGAAATTATTGATCATAAATGTGACTTTTTTGTAGACATAATATGTATGAGGAGTAATGTAATAATAGTCAGCACCAGCTTTTGAATTCTGAATTCCATAGATATATAAATATATACATTTATATTTCATCTTCATCCCAGATTAATTTTTGCTAGTAAGCCAGTTTCATTGTACCATTGATTGTCATGTACTGGTGTTGCATCTAATATGTACCACTGGGTTGCCATGACAATAACTCAATAAAC